GAAGTCGCAGAGGCAGTACAAAACTACAGTGAAGGAAACCCTTGGCCCGAATACCGTGGAAAGTTATCTCTCACTCGAAGCAGGGAGCTCGAGTTCCGGGAACCGAAGCGATGATGGTGGGAGGAATGGCTGAGGGCCGGATCGAGAAGCTTAATGGTGACTCCCATTCATGGAATACACATATTCAAGTTATCCGCCCGGTGTCGCGAAAACAACGTCCCGACGAAAACCATGACCCAAACCATTATTGTCTATCCCTATAAAGTTTAGCGTGGTCGAGCGCGGTCCGTCGGCTGCTCTCTGGGCTGCTCGTCCGTCGGCTCCCACCTCCTTCGTCCTTCGGGATAGGTACATTAGTTGGCGGAGCGGTGTCTAGCTTTTGAAGGAAGCGCGCGAAGAATCCGCAGTCCGAGCAGGCGACAGCTATAGCAGAAGAAGAGGAGGCAGCGGCTGCATCGGCAGCAGCCTGTTAAGGCCGTGCTACCTGGAACTACGAATTGAACCACGAAAAAAAAAGAGAAGAAGAAAAGAGGAGGATCTTGGAGTGCTGGCGAATCGTGAAAGAACTCAACAACCGGGAAGCGGTCGTGTTATCACGTCGGGAGGAATTTCACCCGCCGAATCGAAGTCGAGGCGCTGCGTAATACGACAAACCCACTGGCGATCGCCCGGCGCTCTCCATTTAGCACTTCTTCTTCTTCCCCTCACCCCTGGGCGGCAGGGGTCGCCACGCCGCTGGGCGATCCGAGAAGACCCTCTTGCCTTGGATGTTTCCGATTCATAAAATTTTTCGGGAGATGGAGAGATCTCCGGCTTCGTCCTCGAATCCATTCGACGCCTTGAACGCTATTTGCAGAGTTCACACGGTCTCAATTCTCAATTGCATCACGGAAAGGGAATGCATCGAAAATCCGAGCGAACGTAATGACCTGTGGGAAACGATGTCAAGAAGATTTGACCTCCGTATCGTGTTCCAAGAGAAGCGGACCCCACAAGGTTCCTCGTTTTTCTCTTAACACGGAAGGTAATGAACATAATCCGGTGATGAGTTCCGAAAAATCTCCACCACGGTTCTCTCGAGCTGTGCACTGCTGCTAGGTCTGCTTTATTAGCTCTGTCGTAAAGATCGGCGTTTGGTCGACCGGACCGCCATCCCTGTCGCTCAGCAAAGATCCAGCAATCCAGAATCAGACAGGTGTGACTGGTGATCTTTATTTAATAAAATCACTGTCGTCCACTTCTTGGGAGGTCCCCGAAAGATCAATGAAACTTTGTCCGTTGGTGCGCGCCTTAATTGAACAGCGATGTCACACGCCGTGGACGCCGCCATCCCGAATTTTCGACGGTCAGACCGGAGGCGAGTTCTTTCCCGGCTCGGAACTCCCTTCTGGACGGCGGAATCGCCGCGGCGGGACGGAATTCTTCCATGGCGCTGCTCCTATTGTGGAATTCCTGCGAACCATTCCAGCTCAAAATGACGACTGGTATGATCACGGGAAGACTTGAATATATTATTATAATCGTCAATATTCATGATCGAGTTGGAGAAAAAGCGAATCAGTATCCCCATTGTCTCAGCTCCCGAACTGGGGGTGCCGGAATTTCCAGCCGAGGACTGCCTGCTTTTCGGAATGTTCCGCATTTCCATGTCGATGAATTTCCAGAAACAGTCAGCGACGCTCAGGAGGGGATATCGGCATCGGCAGCAATCAAGCCGTCAAATGTCGATGGTCTCTGAGTCCTCGGTTTCTCCCTCGACTTCAAACACTCCCAGATTCCTCATCGAATCCCGCTGACATCAACCGCTGATTCTTCCTGTATTTCCGCCGGCAGCGAAGTTTACAATCGGACAAGCTTTTGAGAAAACTCTCTCCGAATTGGTCTGATCTGTTTTCTTCCGAGATTGTCCTGCGAGTTCAAACGATTGTGAATGAGTGCTACGAGAGAGATAATCCGGGCTGGCGGGCCGATTCGCGCCAAACAGAATGGGGCCGCCTGATTTCCTCGAGTGTGAACTCGGTCTACATGGATGACAGCCTCCAAGACACGGGAGCGTAGGGAAAAATATTCTGTTGGCATTCTTTCTCGGGTATTGGTTACTTTTCTCTCTTTCCTAGGGGAACAAATGGCGGAAACAGAGGGACGCTCCCAGAACCTGTTCTCCGAATTCCACAACTAGAGCATTCTACAAGTGTCGTTCTCGACAGATCAAATGTCGTCTACCGAGAACGATCTGAAACAACAGAAGGTCCGCCGGTCCACGACGGCGACAAACGAGGTCTCGGAATGACGTCAGAAACGACGAATTCTTTACATCCTCAACAACAGTCGACGATCACGAGATATTTACACAAGTGGCGGGGGTTTTCCCTCCATATTCACGAAGGTGGTCGGGAGTGTCTGATATGTGTACACAGTTCAAACGTATTCATTCTCCGCATTACGTACGCTCCTGGCTAGCTTCGGTGCGATCACCTGGAGGCTGGTCACGCCGTCGTCCTCTCGGAGCCTCATCTATCCCGGGGTGCTCTCTGGCCCTCCCCTTCTCCCCTCCCTTCGGAAGAAAAAACGCGGAGACGCATCTGAGTGCTACCGCCGACAAAAGAGATGAGCAGAGACAATAGAATGAGGAACCGTTGCATATCCGAAGCAAATCTTGATTAGGGCGATGTGTGACGTTCCTCGCGTTTTCCTTGTGTCGCTTTTCATAGAACTCGCGGGCTGCAGAGCGATACAACGGGCGCGGTACTCAAAACGTATCATACTCGACACTCGAGCACTGACTTGAGATTCTACTGCGCAACTGCTACGCTGCAGTTGACGATCATTAGGGCGGGGGCTCCGGGATGTCAGGATTCGCTTGTCTCATCATCTAAGAATCGCATAGTCTTAGCAAGGCCTGCGGAGGAGATGTTTCGCGCGACCGGCGGACGGTAGTAAATGAGGAAAAGGAAAAATGAATGAAATACAGCCTACGGATCGGAACGGTCGCGACGGGGGAACAGTGATCAGGGGAGAAGTGGTTCGGACGGTTCCTCCGAAGTTCTCATCAGTATGACAATCTCTAACTCCCGCGAGCAGCCGTCTCGGGGACACACAGCCGAAGTCCCTCTCCCTCGACAGGAGCCTTTGCTTCAGGTTCGACCCGACGTCCTTCCGAGACACCGTTTCGAGTTCGGAAAAGAATGCTCAATAGGTATCTTATGGTACCTCGATTCTCGATCAAGCACCTGATACATAATTTTTATTACTATGGTCATTATTGTCAACAATTTTCCACTCATGAATCAGATGGTTTGACATGCGTTGAGGTTCTACATTAGGTAGAAGAGCTCATCGAAGCCTCGACCTCCGGCAAGAGAGTTTCGGATCATTTTTGAGCTTCCACGTTGGACTTTCAAGGAAGTCTTCGTCTCAGGGACGCCGTCGAGCGGGCTTCCCCCGTGAGCCACCTGAGACAGTCGCCAAGCGTCTTCGTCAGCAAGAGGGCCTCTCGACCCCATAGTCCTGAGGTCGCGATGATTCAGGGCTTCACCATATATTGTTAGGCTTTCGGTGCGTAATGTGGAAGTTATCCCGTACGGCTTCTGCCGCCAGCCCGACGACACTTTTCGCGAGAGCTGCATAGCTTGCCGCGTGGGTGTTCCGTGAGGAGAAGTCCCAGACCGACATTCTACCCCTGGATCGGGGGTCAGGGTCATGACATCTGGCCGAATCTCGTGAACAGCGATCAGATGTTGGGGTTCGATCTGGACAAGAATCCCTATCTTGCGAATCGCTCCGACCGCGACGTCGCGTCGTTGACTGTATTGTGACGAGCTTCACGGAAGCGAGTGTTTTTCTTGCAGCTCAGTCGATGACAATCTTCAGGATCGGAGCATTCACCACAGATGCAAAGGAAGAGGGGAACATATCTAGACCGAGTCTGAGGGCACGAGGAACCCTGAATTCAGAAAACTCGTGTGCCCTTCTCCGTTCTAGCTGCGGGGTCGATCATCCAAGAGCTCGCTCGATTGCCAAAATAATCACATTCTCGCATCCGTGCCACGGAATGAGCTTCATTACGATCGCTCGAGACTCCATCTTAGCGGAACGGGTATCTTCTTCGAGCGGGTATCTCTCTGCGTGACTGTCTCCTCCTTGAAGTAGCCTAACTCTACAGGATATCTGGAGGGGTTTCATAATTAACTCGGAATGTGCCCCTTCTAGGGGCCCGAGAACTCCCCTCGTCGTGACCACCAGCATCGTGATTCTGATATTCAACTAACTCCATTCCATAATTCCATCTTTCAAAGATCGATCTCTTGATGATTACTCAATTTTCAGAAGTGTTAGACTCCTCGCCGAAGCAAGGCAGTCGATACCGTCATGCAACTATGATGAATAGTTTCTTTATGCAAAATTTGAAAGCCCTGTCCGCACATCAGGAGAGCAATCAGCGCAGCATAGAGTGCACAGATGTTGTAGGTGGCCGACATTCGTTAGGCAACCCTCAGGAACGCGCCCAGGGAAGAGAGGCTTTGCCATTCCCCCGGAAAATATCACTCCCGCGGCTATCCGAGAAGAACCTTCTCATTGATGTTTTATAGAAGTCTGTCAATTCCATTGTGGAAACGACGTCTTCTGCGCGGTAAGACACAATCACATTTAGATTGAAGCGTTTTCCCGATACTAGATGCCGAACTTCTCGAGTGACCTGCCCAAAAAGAGCAGTAGGACAAGAACTACCCAACAGAGCTCTTGATGAAATTTCACCCCGGACGCGAGAAAATCCTGAACACGCGCCTCGCAACTCTCGATGATACTCGGTACCATCCCATAACCACGACGAGATTGAGAAATTTCCTCCTCGTCAAGATATACTTGATCGAGAAGCCTCAATCAATTACCCGATCACGATTCGCTCGCAGAGTTAGCCCAAGTGCGGACTTCGTCATCTGGATGAATCACGAGCGTACGATGAGCTTGTTCCTCGATGGTTTAATGACGCTTCAGGTTCCCATATCTACACACATGCGCATTGCACAGCGCTATCTCACTCTCGGATCTCTATGTCAGAATCAAAACAGATTCTCTTCGTAAATTACGAGTTCCCGCGGATCATCCTTAGAAGCACTCTGAGGGGGCGGCGGAGGAACCACGCTCGTGGGCAACTGAGGTTGACGTCGGGCTAGAGCAGCCTGAAATGAAGCTTCGGAGAATGAGCAGAAAAATAATCATGGCGAATCTTTTTGAGCCGACAGATGGTAGCACCATGAACGAAAAACAATCTCGGATGTCGCACCTTGAATGTGAGACCCACAACGCAGTTGCCGTCTAAGGCTTGAATGACCTTGTCTGCGACTTCACATGTTTCGAATGTGACGAAAGCACAGCTTTTATTCTCTTCCACGCATATGTGGAGGATATTGCCTTGCGCAGAACAGGCTTTGCGAACCAGAGCCTCGGTGATCCCTGCAAGTCAAACACAAATTTCAGAAACGGAATCTCTGCCCGACACGGGACCTCCCTCCTGCCTTCGATAAGAAATTCACTCCCCCGTCACTTTCTAGGATCCCTCATGGAATACTGTGTAATGTTGATATGACGTCACCTTGAGCATTCATGTAGACGGTGTTTCCTCTACGCGGGGCGACGGGCGTCGTGCTGGTCGAGTTTTCGGCGTTGAACTCTTTCTCGGCATGCAGCTTGGGATCATCTTGATCCAAAGCGCCCAGTTTAGAGGCCGGCGGATCGCCTTTGGCACTCGGCTCGGCAAAGGGTTGATACCTGGGAAGGATTTCAATGAGGACAGCCATTCGAGCCCAGGACTGTCGTGAGCGTTTCGAAAATCGAACGTCTCGCAGATCATAAATCTCAAGTTGAAGAAGACGCATACGCGCGTTATCACTCACCCGACTTCGGAGCCGTTACGCTTACGCTCAGCACCCTTGCTCCTCTTGAATACCGTTTTCCCTTGCGGTTCCGATTTTATCGGTTTGATAGCTCCGGACTTGAGTAGTTTCCTAGCGAGCTCCTTCGCGTCAGGTTTGGCGACACCTGTGGGTTCCGACCATACGATCAATAAGGAGCTCTCTGACTGAAGTTAGGAATGGGCAAATTTGATTGACGCAAAATGCAACGATCGGATGATGATCCGTGTACTCGAATGATTCATATTGAGGGGACTCAACGAACGAATACTTCGGCTCCCGATGACAGACGGAATCTGATGATCATTGGGACGTTGTTTACCTTCTTGGGATTTGCGTTTGTTGGCCGCGATCGACGCGAGGATTTTGTCGGCTTGCTCCTTCTGCTCCTGCTCCTTACTCGGCTGCGGTTTCAGCTGCAACCATCAAGTTGGCCACCGTCAAGAACCTTGTCATGAATGTTTCACTGGAGAATGGCGCCACACGATCCGCTCGCTATATAAATCGCCAGTTCCCTCAAGAATGAATTCCCTAATGCTTCCTCATCATGCTGGTATATCCAGGGACTCTCTCCGAAAGGACATGCCTGCGCTTTTCTGCTTACTCCACGCAGTCCGCGGCGGTAGTCATCCGACAATGCAGTCTGGAGAAATCACTAATCATCCGAATCGAGATCCGCTCCACTCACCTGTTTACGTTTCCTCTTGAGTTTTGCGTACTTGCTCTTAAGGGCTTGTTCTTCTTCCGTCAATTGTGTTGGAAAATGAATGAAACCCATTTTATGGGGTATTTTCAGTTTTTGGCGGTTCTCGCCTCATCCACTGACAACAACACTCTTGGCGACCGAGAGAGAAAGCGGCTGTCGGCGATGTTTTGGTCTTGGTCAACGCGCTCACGAAGAGCCCTGGATGCGGCTGTCTGCGCAACGAGCCGAGGGTAGTGCTGCCAATCGGATCTCTCATTTGGAGAAAATGCAACAAGAGCTATATATCCCGAAAGGCTTTTCGCAAACTCCACGTTTGAGGAGGGAAAATGAATAATGTATTCTCTCGACTATTACTGAATACCTGGAAGACCTCTCTGATGTTGAATTGATCGCAACGACGAAATGAACCTCTAAATCTCGCCTCTGAGGCCTGGGTTCCCTCAGGCCTCAGGTCAGGTTCCTGTAGATTTCCTTGAGGCTGCAGACCCTCCAGCGCAGGGACTTCGTTATAGAGAGACTCGCTCTTCGGAAGACTGTTCGTTAGAATTAGAAGTTCGAGCTCGCGTCCTGGTCGAGGAACTAAGACAACGCAAGAAAAATGCGCGACCTCCCGAAACCAGAGCGTTGAGAGTGCCTTGCGTTCACTGCAGATGCTCGTCAGATGTAGACATATTCGTCCGACTCAGTTGTGATTGCATAGCCCACTTGTGTTGTGCTCGATTGCAGCTTCTGACAGGGTCCGAGACTTGTGTTCGATGCCGCAGGAGAAGGCTTCATCATTATTTTCAACTGCCTCGTGAATGGTATGTGAAATTCTTGGTCGAGGTGGTGGAGAATACCTTGGAAGCTCTCCCCGGTATGGACCCGCTGCGATGTCTCCTCGGGAAAGATCTGTGGAGGATCCTATATTCAATTGTGCTGGCGTATCTCTGTTTGGAACTTGGAGGCGATATCCTGCCCGGTGTTGCGGTATTCTCTCTTTTCGCGATTATCCGAAACCTACGATGGACTGATGATGGACTCACATTTCGCTACCTCGAAAAGTTCAAGCGACAAAATCACTTTGCTGACTTGCACGTCAAAGAACAGTTCATTTCCACTGACTTCCAGCCCTCGCTGTCGTCCGACAGCTTTCTCATGCAATTCTTGTGAGCCATGTCAAGGTGAAGTCCGTGAGCGTAAGGCGTTGGGCATCATCATGATTCAGTTGTTGTTCATCTCAGCCGGGCGAATGTTCTTCGATTGGAGGGGATTCGCGCGATTGAAGGACTGCAGTTCTCGGATCGCCAGTCAACGGAATTAAGGAATAATTGAAATTTCGCGAGCGCGTAGTTTCGTAGTACTCGGAAAATCAAGGACCGCCAAGGGAGGACTCCAGTGATGGATCGTACATCTCTGATCGTTTCATTTGAAAAGACATTAGTCCTTCGAAAATAGACTTCTCAAAAAATTTAATCCATTTATCTGTTGCCCTTCGCCTTATTGGATTTGGACTCGCAACTCCAAGAATGGAAGCGAGCGACAGTTGCTCCTCTACAGAGCGCGCTCCTTAGTTTTGAACTTTAAACTTGAAAGCAAACTCCTCTCCCGGAATAGGATACTGGTCGCCTTCCTCTCAACCCAGAGTGTAGTTTACCCCGAGCTGTGTTTACTCGGGATTACGAGAGCTCTTCCTGTTTGTTAACCAGCAGCGGCACTACGGTCCAGTGCAGTGTGTGCGTTGATTCTCCACTTTGGTCAAGTTAGCCTCGAGCGATTCGGACGGTGTTTGGCTCGATCAGAGTCGTCGAGACTATTCGCGTCGCTGCCTGCATTCCTCCCCTCATGCGAGCCTTGGAAGTCGCAATTTCTCGGGGTACCCTGGAAACGCGGATTTTCTCATACTTCCGCGGATCAGGGATCGGAGATAGGGTTCGGCTGGAGTCTGGAAGGAACGTATTGGCCGCCTAGCGCGAGGTTCCGGGGGACGCGCGAGACAGAACTTCCGCGAGATTTCGTTCCATCCGCTAAGGAATCGGATCCATGAGCGGCCACGTCGATCTGATCTCTCAAGCGAAATTTTTGTCCGTGGAGTATTCTCATCGACTGTACACTCTCTAAAGCGAGCAGCGCGGACGGGCTGTCTCATAGCTAGATTACTGGATCGGCCAAGGAGCGCCGCGCATGACGTCCTGAAACACTGTTGCTGGAATCAATGATGGATTCGAGATCTCTTCTTTAGGGATATCATCTCTTTCGATCGAGCAGAGCCGCGGGTACGCGTATGGCCTCACAGGTGCGAGCGTGCGTCGACGGAAAAGGGACGAGCAGTGCGTTAATGGAACGAGACTTCGCGAGCAATCAGCTGAATCGAGAAAAACTCAACGATATGACGCACAGCGCAATCTTGGAACAAAAGACTTTCCTTTTGGAAAAACTTATCGTGAAGCCACAATGAAGAGCTGCTGAGTGCTATCTGTCCGTCGATGTCGTCGAGCGTATCTCCGCCATTAACGTTGGTAATTTCATTATGTGTGGGTGGGAGTCTGGATGTGTGGAGATAGTATTTTCCTCTTATTGTGTCGCAAGACAACGGGTGGGGAACGGAAAAGAGGGAGGCGGACAAAAAAAGGAAACGAGTTTCTGCCGGCTATCAAGAGAGACTCCCTCGTGTGCCGAGGCGACATCTGCTTCCGAGGGCAGCCGCCAGGAGGTGCTGCTCGCGGAGGGCCCGAGAGGACCAATGGCACGGGAGGTGGGGCTTGCAGAGACAAGCGTGCCCGCCCATAGGGGCCTGCCCGCCACATAACCAGCTTTACCGTTACGTCAAAGGATGATCAACAAAGGTTCCTCGCCCACGGTTTCCCCCGCCGCCGTGTGAATCCCAGAATATGATATACTCGAGGAACCTTTTCGCCCCAACGGTGTCTCGAATATGCGGACGTGTCCGAATGAATGAAGCTTCCGTCGGCAACGCGTCTCTGATTTGTGCCGTCAAAAGCCCACGTGAAGTCTGGAGCTTCGGATTGCGGATCTAGCGGAGAGACATACCAATGAATGCTCTGCGGTGTCACGCTCCGCATTCCGAAGAAGGAAATTATGGCGATCCCCTAAAAAATTGGTCGGCAGAGCATGTTCGCTACCGCAGACAGAAGCTCTGGCGAGCTGTCGATATTTTTTCCCTTATTTCCCTCTCTTTATCTTCCTCTGGTCTTCCCTTGGTTCGTCACCACACATTTTCTGCCAGCGCAAGATCAGAGAAGACCGAGTATCGGCACGGACGCGACCGAGCGGAAAGATAGCGCTCAGATGAAGGCGTGGCTGGCAACACGATGCCAGGAGAAAAAAATGCTGCCAGCCTAGAAGCTTGTTGTGTTGTTTATTTTTGGCAGCTCCTTATTTGGTTGAGAAATAGAAGGCGAAATGATGCGAAACAGCCGTATCTTCGAGGATGCTTCTCGCACATATACGCGAAGCCGGGCGACTCGCAATCCACCCCCTCACGCGGCTCATGGGCGGATCGAAGAGTCGCCCCTTGGGCTCTTGATTTCGAGTCGATCAGCCTGACCGTGAGTTCTCTCCTCCACATTTATCTTGACGGACATCAGGAGTTTCCAAGAGGATCTCCCCGAGACAGGAGGAGACGTAGAAGACTAGTGATTCCTGCAAAGCTCAGATGGTCGGAGGCATCGGATTCAAGACGCGAGAAATTCATATATTGTCACACAACTTTGAATGTTCGTATTTATTCACTCTTCGATCCAAGGGTTGTTCATTTTGTCAATCAAGTCATCGGTCCGCGTATTCCCGTCTCGGGACTCTTGAGATCAAGTGTCTCGCACAGATGCTCTCGACCGAGCTCTTGTGGAGACGGTTGCGTAGATTTTCCGAATTCCATATCTGCGATCACCCTCTAATGCTCTCTGAAGGGCTCGTCCTCGTATCGACGAATGATTATTGCTGAAGAATGTACAGTTGCAATCAAAGCAGAACAATATCCATGTTTCGTCGCTGTTCCGACCGAGAGGATGGATCCACGATTTCCGTGGTCCCGCGTGATCGCCGGAATTCCGAATCGTCATTCCCTGATCGCTGTCGCTTCCCGCAAACCGAAGGAAACCACGAGTGCCGCGGAGGATTCGGTGTTCCGCGTCAGGAAGCGCCTCGGTTTCAAAGTCTCGAGTCGAGAGAACGTCGCCACGATTTCAAAGAGACCGAATTCAACGCTGCGTTCCTCTAGAATCAGCGGATTTCTCACAACTTATCTCGGATTGGTTGACTACTAATCGCTTAGATACTCGACGTCCACATGACGTCTCTGATTACGTTGGGTCGGGCTCGGTATTTTAATATTACCATCAGCGTCATCATCATCATTATAATAATCATCGTATCTTATTATTCCAGAGGAGGTCTCCCGCATTTACATTTCTCACCGGCGTTGTATGTACATTGGATGACCGGTGAATCTCTTGATCCTCGCCACGGCGTCGAATGCCCACAGAGAAAGAGGAGGCGGTCGGAACAATTGCCGTTCGATGTTTGTCCTCCATTTCTCGCTCTCCTTGCATGTGAATATTCCTACGATCTGCTGCTTGTCTGGAACTGCCGAAGCCGCGGAAGTGCAAGCGATATATTTCCTCTTCCGTCAGCGTGCTTTCGATCATTGGCCAGTCCAATCTAGGAGCTCGTAACTACAGCTGGGCGGTCTATTGTAGGGCCGGGCGAGACTAACAAGAGCTGTACGTACAGATTACGCGGATTTTTCTTTTACTGTAGGTATACCTATTCAAGGACTTCATTGCATACTCTTATGGATTTTCAGTCTGTTGTCGTTGTTCGTAGTTTTTCCCTAAATGGAGGCAGGAACAGGAAAATCAAAAACGGTTCTACTCAATGCGTGTTATTCAACACTGACTTCTCCACCAGTCACATCTCGACGTGCGGCTTGCATTCTGCGGTTCGTAGGCGGGAGTCGACGCAAGAGGGCTATTTAGGTTTGTGTGGTGAGGTGCATTATTGCTTAATCCGTGGAGTACGAAATCATCACTTTGTACAGGAATCGAGGCAACAGTTCACCCCGTGGAACTATCACCATACGGCCCGGGTTTCCTATCAACGACAAATCTGTTTTCTGCTGCTAGAGCGGATCGTGGCTGGCGCAGCCCTTGTTCCTTACTCTTTCCTCGCTTCTTCTCTTTGGGATCTAGCCGTAGTTCTCAGCCTTGGTCGAGCTCTTCTCGTCGGCGTGGAACTTTTCGGTTGCTATCAGTGTGTGCCTGACCACACGAGCCGCCAGCAGATTCTACGACCGTAGAAGGATAAGGAACGCTGGATCCCGGATCCAGAAGGGTCCGGGAGTAGCTTCGGGCCGATGTTATCCTCGAACCAAAAACAAGCAATGATCAATCGGCAGCTTCTGTTTTGCATATCCCTCAGATCGATATTCGCAATGTCTGATATTTACACTATGGTACAGATCAATGATGAGATTCATTTGATCTCTCGGGAGTTTTCTTGTTGGCTCCCTGGGATTCATCGACAAGCGATAACTCCGGCCGGGTGCGCTCCATCGACGAAAGATGGTTTCAGCAAACGGGGCGATCCGAGTCGCCAATTAAGGCGTTGGCCATGCGTCGATGGATGTGTATCCATCAAATATAATATCGATGGACCCCCCTCCCTTCTTGCGACGATCAGTACTCAGGTTGTGGATGTTGCACGGGTGCTTTGTGCTTCAGTTGCAGCATCTCTTGCATCTTCAGTGAAGGTTGAGGCGACTGTGAGGAACTCAAGTCCAGTACCTCCTTGAAAACGAGTCGACGTCGTCATTTTTACTGTGGTGGTGTCTGATGCAAAAATGTCAGTGCAGATCTCGACGATGGAGGCAAACTGTCACACCGTGCTCAACTGGGCCGCAAACTGCGTATTTTAGCGTCACTCGGTTGGGCGGAGAGAGGAATTATTGACGAACATTTTTTCCGATTTCATAGAATCATGAGGTCAAATCCACGCTGGTTCCGATTGTTACGCTAATATTCTCTCGGTATGACCTGATTTCCGGTATCAGTTTCTTGATTCGGCTTTCGCTGCTTCGGACGATATCGATACTTGTTGAGGGAGAGGACGGAGGAAAACCTCAGCTACGAATCGATTATGTAGAGGCCTTCTCTCGAGCGTCGAGTCCTTGTCGTCGTCGTTGGGTGAGTGAGTGCTCCGTAGTGACAGACAGATTGAGTGCTTCCTGCTCTGGGACAGTCTAGCTTTCGGAATTCAAGGGATGTGCCATAAGCGAGACAGAAAGGGTTAACGACCGCATTGGCATGCCGGTCTGATGTGAGCGCACCGAGAAGACGCTCTCTCAAATCACGAATTATTCGAGAGGGTGCTCGTAGAAATGTGCAAGAAATTTCGTTTTTCCGTGAGTGAGGGGGCGGGATCAAGGATCCACTTGGGGGCGCCCGGTTCATGGTGGTCGATTAAATAGGACATGCGAAGTTCCCTCGATACTCATCACCCGTATCGAGTACACGGGTGAAGCAAGGTGAGACGAAGGTGCTACGGATGCTCGACGGTGAGAGGCAGAAACAAGTCAAGTGTCGCTTGTTTTGGTAGTGCTGGTCGACTACCCGCATGCGACCCGCTAGCGTCCCGACGGGTCGCCCGCTTGACTTGCTTGCGGGAAGCGAGCGACAGGATCGAGTGCACGAGCATTCGCTCGCTCGCTTGCTCGCTCGCTTAATTGTAGTGCGCAAGAATTTGCTTCCCTCTCGCGCCGATTGCCTATCCCTCTCTCACTATTTCTCTCTTTCTCCACTCCTGCCGCTCCCATCCTGATCGTCCTGATTTTACTTTTACTCGGTTTATTAATTAATCTCTTCCGAGTCACTTTGGAGGAAGAGAAGTTGCGACCATGCCTTCCTGCAGCAGGATTGAGCGCGAGGAGGGATGAGAAAAAGACACCGGCTGGCCCCGTCTCCGAACAAACTTCCGAGCTCAACGAACAGCTAATTTAGCCCATTGACTTCATGACCGGATGAACGATCGGATAGATGGAGGCAGGCAGGGCGAGCTGGGGTTACAAGCGCTGACCAAACCAAAACAGCCCGAACTCCATCGGGGTGCAAACTCAGAGGACCATAGGGATTTTCGGGCTGATTCGCCGGAATTCATTCAGCGAAGAAAAGACCGAGAGGAACATTCCTTCGGTTCTAACGCAACCGCGTCCGAATCCGTCATATCCTCATCAGCGCCGATCCATTCATATTCGTTTGAACGATAATAATCGGGCTTCAAAATCGATGGAAATTTTCATCGCACATACCTAACTTGTCAAGAGATCTTTTAACATCCCGCTGTGCGCGGGGGATATTTTGAGCGTCGACGCTCAACTCGGAGAATCTTTCTGTCTGTCTCTTCGTTTTCAAACTGGCTCGGGTAGCAAGCTCGGGTGCGGTCGTTCAGTCCGGAGGAACTCAAGAATGTACTCAATCTTGGAGACTCACGTCGTTCTGTCTGATTCCTTCTGTCTCGCTCTATTTTTCCACGGGTCAACTCATCGAAAGTGGACGAAGAAGTAGTCACTGCGCGCCGATTTACTCACCTCACGACGAACGACGCAGGCGTAGCATGAATCACATCGATCGATGTTTGATCTCGTCAATGAGTTCCCGATATTGCAGTCGGCTCTGTCGCCGACAATGCAGAACTCAGAAGCAGCTTCACTGATTTACGGTCGTCGGTGTTCAATTCGGCTGACTGTGAGAATTTCGGCGGCGAAAACAGCGGCAGCCATGGCAATCTCTCCTCCAACCGAGGACGTACTTGACTAGATTTGGGCAAGAAAGCCCCTCGAAGGGCGGCAACACATCATCATCATCTACAACATATACAGCTGTTTGTTCTTTCGTTTCCTCTCAATCTTTGATTTTCTCTCTCGTTTCTCGCATTCGCTTGGTTCATAATTTTTTTTTCTCAGATCTTCCAATCTAGCCATCAAGCCCACTGAATCGCTGCTCGTCGGACGCCGCACGGTCGCGAGTCCACTGCACTCGGTCAGGCGGCATGGTTGACGGCATCGAATGGTGGAAAATCCTTTTTCTCTCTCCCTCTCTTCTTCTTTTTTTTCTCTTTCTGGGCTGCGTCTGCAACAGTCGTGGAAGATACTTCACTTCTGAAAAGTTTTTTTTCTCTCTCACCGCTCACTCGCTGAGCAGATGGGACATCGAGGCAACACTGCGCAAGTCGACCTTGCGCCGCCCTTGACCAAGCCAATTAACCTTCTATAATGAGTCCGGCCCGCCGCGGATCTCTAGTTCCATGAAAGAAGAATTCATCAACTCGTTCGTCCATAGCGTCTCTTCTGAGTGGGGGCCAGCTCGACGTCCGTCCATTCGTCCGTCCGTCACCTCGTCTGTCGTTTCATAAGTCAGTTAATGGCGTGGCGGCAGGTAAGGGCGGCACGCGCAGGATCGAGGGATTCAGGGTGCAGTTGGTCTGTTTAAAGCTACCAAGGAGACCACTGGTTGATGTTGTGCCGCAAATGATGTTGCGGCATTCCGTGACTCATCGCATGTCGACCATGCATGAGCTCGTCCTCCAGGCCGAGACTTCCGTCGTGATCCTGTTGTTTTCGAAACGAGAATCAACGTTAATCCTTGGACTTATCGAGCTATATATGCTGATATCATCATCATACGGTATGATCGGACCCTCTCAGTCTCGTGTACGACCTCTCAATCTGTCTCTGATTGCCGATACTGTCTGCCGCATAGTGACCGTAAACAATTCGGCCCATACGCAGGATCGTCATAAATGAGAGCGATCGGCGATTCCGCGATGGAAGCTCATCAGAGTCAGGGATCAGAAAAGATAGGGTGTTTCGCGAAGAGATCAATGTGCAGTGCCACCTCGATGTCGACTTCTCGATGAGCTAAGCGGGTGATATCTCGATAGGTTCGATTAGTTTGTGATTTAGATCATTTTCTATTCTCCCCAGAGAGAAAAACGACGCGACGGTCGCAGATAGCAGCCAGAAATTACAATTTCGGTTTCGAGCAAAGCAGAATAGGGGAACCGTCATGATCTTCTACCCTATTCGAGCTTCAGTAATTTTTGATGAATCACGAATTTTCTTGGGAGTTCTGTTTCCGAAGTCGACTTTTCGGTACCGTAGCATCGTTTGTCGGAGGTGCGTTTTTCTGTCAAGTGGTGCGAGACGTTCGGTCGATTTGATCTCCTCCAAGTAGGGAAAGATGGAAATAGAGGTCGATATCGGAGTTTGGGCTTCGACAACAGAGTGCGCATGACGAATTCGAGAAGAGGAGGAGGTGAACGAGGAGGAGGAGGAGGAAGATTTCGCGAGAGTAGTTTCTCGGAAGACGTCGGAGGATATTCTTCGAGAAAAGAAGTCCCTGATTGAGAGTTCGATTTGTAGTGGGCTACGAGTTTGAGTCGTTTGAATTGCACGTCGTCGTGGGAGAAGGCAAGCTAGGACTCGTAGCTGCGCCCTGTATTTGGGCAATGCTGATGTTGAGGCTACTGAGGTTGGCGATCGTACTCAGAGGCAGCGCGATTGCAGACAGAGAAAGACTTACGACGGGGCCTTGAGAGAGGTGATTGCTGCTGCTGTGGTGGAGTCCTGGACTTTTGCCATGGTGTGCTCCTACCCCTTGCTGGCTTTGTTGATCCTGCGTCTGTCTATCCCTCTTCAGTTGCTGCTCCGAGTCGTCCAACCACTTGTCCTGCGAGCGGCGTCTGGCGTTCATGAAGAAGTTACCCACGGTGCTGAGTTCAAGCCCAAGCTGCTGCGAGATGGCGATCTGCATTTCCTTCGAGGGCCGCTTAGTCTCCTTAAAAATAGCTTGCAGAGTACGTCGCTGAAGGTCGGTAAATACCAGGCGGGGTTTCTTCGTCTGGTTCTGACTTTTCGAGGCTGCGCTCAAGTGGGTGGGGGCCACGATTGCCGAACCAGGCGGCTGCGGCGGCGGCGGCACTGGACCCACCGACTGATTGTCCTCTTTCCGTTTGCACGCTGCAATGAGAAAAAAAACTCGTTAGCTCATCAATGCCTTCTGCTCGCAGCCCGGAATCGCCAGAGAATCATTCCGGCGATGCTCCGGATCGCGGTGAGAAGTTCCGCGAAAAAGACATCGAAGAGTGTATTATTTTCAGGAAATTGTATTTAGGCCAAAGCTTCTCTCCGCTAGCAACGTCCCCACAGAGTTTCATTTCTGATCTTCCCCCGTCGACGGAGTCGGCACACGCGCCCGTGGGCAAGCCCTCGAGCAACTCACGACATCTGATCGATATTCACAATCGTGAGCCATGAGGCTCAGGTAGTTTAGAGCCGAGCCGAATTCAGTTGTTTTCAATATATGCACGCCATTTATATTCTTCCAAAAGAGAAGCAGAACCCTAATCTAATGAAGATGTTGCCGGTCGGACTATAACAATACAAGTTCGGAATTCTTCTCCGACTGTCATCAGTCATGAGAAATCATAGATTCTTGCCATTGAGGAACCCGTTGCGTTGATTCTCCGGGCTCGTTCGGCACAATTATTCTAATGAGGTGATTATATTTTCTTATTTTTTTAGATCAGCGGTCACCGTCAATGGAGAGTCGTCGAGATTCCGTACGGTCGCGAACTTCAGCGATACCTTGTGGGTTTTGTCGGCTCTCCGCCAAATGGGAGATGCATTCGCGAGCTGAGTCCACAGTGGGCTTCAGGCAATGGCTTTCTATTATCGTTCAAGGATGCAGGTCACACAAAGGCCCATAAAGTCAGCCAATGGTGACGGACTGGGAGCTAAAACAATGGGAAGAGCGAGTATAGCTGCTCAAACGTCGAGTTGGTTCCTTATGAGGAGCAACATCGCTTCGTATCGATCCTCTGCAACTCAGGAGCTCCGCGTATGCAGAAGAGGCGACCAACGCAACAGAACAATCCACATCAAGGCAATTGATGGATCGATAATCCCGTTCCACGATGAGAGCCTAAAGGCTTAGCAGTCACCTCGCGGTGGACGCTGGCGCTGGCAATTTCAAGAAGTGGCGACCATTGATTAGTGTCGTCATGCCTAATAGGCTGCAGTTGTTTATTCGCTTACCGGGACGTCATAGCGTGGAGCGTGCAAATCAATTTCGCTCTTCGAACCCCCTTTACTCTGCTGCTATTTTGGCTGTTTCCATGACGATATGCCATCGGCCACCTGTCCGTGTACGAGTCTGCCGCGCGATACTTTCGGCACGACCAGCTCGAAACCCACAGCACGCGCGGAGTTCCGAAGAGCCAACCTGTTCGCTCATTAGAGAAGCACGGGACGAGGAACCGAGTGCCACGAGTCTCGGACGGGCACTGCTCTCTGAGACGGAGCGGCATTTACGGAGCTGCAATGTTGGCATTTGATGACGGCGCATTCAACGTCCCCATGAGAGAGGCCGTGTTGCCTGTGCAAGCCGAAACCAACTCGGTTGCTGCGCTCGTTTTCGCACCAACTATCTGAGCTCGAGACGTGGACTACAGGCCCAGATGTTCGGGGACGATGATCAAAGTTCGTCATATCTGCGTCCCGCATTGCAGACTTTCCGCATGTTCGTCAGCGCGTATAGTGCTCGCGGCTCTGATCTTTGTCGCGGTGTTCCTTATGTTCGTGCAGTTGTTGGGACCACTTTCGTGCCGGCTAGACAAATTGAAGGAGTACGATTACGCAGATGACAATGAGATCACCAGCCTAGGTCCATTGGAATCAGATGTGAAGAAGCAACCCGCCAATCCTGGATTCAATAATGCGTCCAGGAACGAGGTTTGGAATACCAACTACAGTGTCGTGCTCCAGCCCAAACAGTGTCGGAACCGAAGTTGTCACTTCACGGAACTCGTTGTAATCTCTGTGTCTTCGGCAGCCAAGTATCGAGATCGACGGCAAGCCATTCGCGAGACCTGGGGCTCGGATGCTTCGAATCGCGTAATTTTTTTCTCGGGCATCGATTCCGCGCACCAGAACTCCCTGGCGGAGGAAGCGGAGAAATACGACGATATAGTGCAATACGACTTCGTCGACTCGTACAAAAATCTCACGCTGAAGTCGGTGCTGATGCTCCGCTTCATCGACGAGAATCGATGGCCCAATCTCAAATATTTCATCAAGGCCGACGATGACACATTCATCAACGCTCGGAATCTCCCCGAAAGCCTCGATGCGATCTCGAGAGACAGAGATCGCGGACTATACGGTGCGCTCCAAGTCGGATCGAAACCGATACGGAAGCGAAACCACAAATGGTTCATATCGAGGAAGGAATTCGCCGAGAACGTCTACCCCGCCTACCTTGCTGGATGTTTCTACGTGATTCCAATGAAATTCGTGAGGCCTATGAGCTCCGCAGCAGCGTCGGTTCCGTTCTTGTACTTTGAAGATGCCTACGTAACGGGCATCCTCGCGAGGTTCTTGAAGATCCGGCGATTCAAAAACAAGAAGCATATCGTGGAGCCTCGCCCCAGCGTCACGAAAAATGAAGTCATCGCCAAGACCTATGTCGCTAAGCATTATATGTCCCCGAAAAAGATGATGGAAGCTTTTGCGGCGCTTCAAGAACAATCGCAGTGATTCGGGGACGGGGAAGTAGCTCACCATCGAAAGAACTTCGATTCAAGCCCGAGTAATGTAATCGTTGCGAGCGTGATCTCTGAACCGGCCCCGATCTGCGAACCGAAAATCCACAGAGCGATAGATTGTATCGGCTGATCGGCATCGATTCGCAACACTGAGAACAGCAACAGCCTGCGAGAGAGTCCTTGTGATCTCTAGCGAGTACAAAACGAGCACAATAAAACGAATCATTCCGCGGTCTCCGTTGGAATCCTCAAGCAGGATACTCGTTCGATTATTTTTTCTCCCCTGACGTTTGCCACTCGTAGCCTTAAGTCGATGAAGTCCCTGAGCTCTCCTCCACTACGAATCCGGTGGCGAAGACAGAACGGTTGGGAATCTTGAGAAACTGGAGAATTATCAGAGGACAGATTCTCCGGCTCACTCACGAGTCACGAGCGAGGATATACGCTTCGTGGATTAGCCCGGATTCTGAGCCCGGGCCATATCGCGGGCCAGGAGAATAGAGTTGGCTCTCGGGATGCGATGCGTGGCTAGGCGTAGCGCGCTGCCGGACCCCGAGGCCAAAAGCCCCGGAACGTTCCGCTCTCTATCCGGACTACCTCGCTCTCTCCTGCCTCTCACCTTGGTGCGGGAAGTTTCTACCCAGTAGCGGTTGTTTACTTCGAAACAAAAAATGGGGAAAAGAGAGCTCGTGATTGAAAAGCTCATCAGTTACTTATCTATCGCCGACCGCTCAACCCGGCGATATGCAGACATTCGCAAAAAAGAAGCGCAGATATTCCTCATCGCATGCCTCGAGTTCAACCACTGTAGCGAAACGAGCGAACGAGCACCGCTCCACCGACCGGCCAAACGGCGACCAGCGAATGAGTGGAAGTTCAATGAGGAGAAAGAGTTTCAGTGTTAGCAACTTTTCAATATTCAAGCACGCACGAGAGAGTTGAAGTCGAGCGAGCGAATAGAAAATGTTCCGAGGAGCCAATTCATCACGAGGATGCTCCACAAGTGAGATCGTCTGCGCGATAGACGTGCGCCGCCTGCAAACAACTGATGCCTAGCACGACTGTGCCCGCATTCCGTCCCCGCGATCGCACGATACCGACGTAACTGCGCAGGGGTCCCGCGGAGCGAGGGAGTCGCTGGAAATATTTCTCGTTTCCAAAACTGTCATCACCACTGTCCACAAAGCTCTGATTGAGCGGATTGTCTAATTGTTCAGCTCTTAAAAGCTCTATCTTCACTCTCATATGCACCAATTTCAGCTCTGCCAAAAGAGACACACCGCGCAAATTGACCCTGACAGTAGCTTCAGAACAGCAGTAGCAGCAGCCCAATATGAGGAGGGGGAGGGGGTCGCGCTCGGGTTGTGGAGGCTCAGAGATTTTTCGGATGAAGAGGTAAGATTCTCGTAGGGGTGAGCCCAGAACAAAGTCTAAATCGGCAGACGCGGCGCGGCACTCGATGCTCGCGAAAGACTTATAAATGGATTCGCTCTTGATTTGTACTCTACTTGGAGATCGACAACGAACTCTTGAAAAATCAACCGCTCGCCATCGCTCCAGTCTCGGGTCCTGTCGAGAAAATGGAGCTCTCTGCGTTTTTCCTTCGCCAAGCGTGCCGCTCGAGAACTTAATCGAGAGATTATGAATAGGGATATTCAGTCGACACAATGAGCTCTATCGATGATAGACGGGAAAACTCTATCCATTATTCATCTCGCTTTGATCCATTCTTCTTGCCGTTCATTCGTCACATGTCAACTGCAGCTTTTTGTTTCAATCAGTCAACTCATCCACATTTCTGCGGCCAGTTCGTCTCTCGTGCGCTCTCATTGTCGAACGTTCATCAAGCAATCATCATCAGCCTCAGGCGCCAGGGGCAACGCTCGCCGTAGATGAGAAATTTCGGAGTCCAACCACGGACTACCACCACCACCGCCACGCGGTTCAAAGATCAACAACACGGGAAGGACTTTCTGCAAACAGACAGTCTGTCCCGCTCGCTCGCAGCCGCCCTCGTAGACGGAAATACAGACGAGCTGAAGACAGCTCAAGGAACCGAAGCGGGAGAGGTATTAACTAGGGAACCTTGGATCAGAGATCTCCTCCGTTGTGATTTGCTAGCGCCCGCCGTGAGGCAACTCTTAACGAAGTCTCGCTTGCCCCCATTCGCAATCGAACGGCCGACCGACCGACCGACTGACTGACTGGGCCAGCAGCGGGAGGACCGAGGATGAGACAGATCGTCGAGGCACCTACAGATGGATGCAGCCGATCCGCGACAACGACGATAGCGGCGAGGTCGACTACCACCACCCCCATCGAGGGCCATAATTCCCACCGTACTCTTGTTCTAACAGACGCGGTAAAACTTTGTTAGCCGAGAGAAAAAGTTGTCTTTTAGCCGAAAACCATTATTTCGCCATAAGAGGCTAAACTTGTCGCGTCAGCGCAGATCCGAGCACACTACCGCGTGACAAGCGGTGCCCTCTGTCCCGAATATAACCGAGGCAAATCACTACGACGTCGTCTATGTATTCAGAGCTCGTTTCGCCGTAAGAGTCGTTTGGGGATTTCGAAGCTCGTACCCTGAGAGCCGCCACCACCGGAGCCTCGTCGGCTGTACGCACATGGCATTAGAGACACATAGTTAGGGGATGCGAGAATTGCGACCTTTCAATGGAATTATCAATCTTCGACACTGAGATACATCGATGTCGGAATCCATTCGAAATCTAACAGCATGGCCTAAAAGCAGCTACTTAGAGCTCCTGAAGGAAGCAAAGGGCTGGCTCGGAGGGCTGAAAGACATCCATTGACCTCCTGCCGTACGATGGAGCGCAGTCGAAATTCTCGGACTTTTCGTGTTCGTCCGCGGAAAGTTTTGATTCCGCTTTCTCTCCAAGAATACGGGAGAAAAATCCCAGCGCCTCCCCCATCCGGGGAAAATTAACTGAAGCGATGATCGTTTTTTATTAGCTGGTGTGTTAATTCCGAAGATAATTCGGATAGCCCTCAGTGGATTACTCTCTCGCTCGCCGAATGTACTTTGATGCAAAATGCCACCCCCTATCCCCCTCTCGCCGAACGCCGACCCAGGGTCGCTCTCCCCCATCCCTGGGAGGGAGGGGGGAGGGGGGGTTCGGGCATCTTGACAGAGGGTGCTCGACCGAAATTGAGAGTGAGCCGAGTCCAAAGTTGTTTGTTTTGTCATTAAAGTCAAGGGGTGAAGTGCAACAGTTGCCGGGGTGGATGCTCTGCGCGGCAGTCAATGTTGACTAGCATTTGTATTAGCTTGTTCCCGCGATCCTCTGCGGTGTTTTCCCTCTAATCGTCTGCATCCCGTGCCACGACAGGAGGGAGTGGATGGGTGGGTGACTCCCCACGCTCTTAATCCTTTGGCTTGTTGTTGTTCTCATCTTCTTCCGTGTCCTCGCGGCTACACTGCTTGCCCTCGCAGCGACGCTTGTGCTGTTGCCGACTACTGTTGATATTAGCCGAGCTGAACCGCTGTGAGCATTGCGGCCACGACCTCTATTCGTTTGTTGCGAGAGCAGCGCCCTACAGCCCAGGATACCTATCGAGCTGGGGACCGAGCGTAATAGGCCGGACTTAACAATGCCCGTTTGCGGATACAGCCAATTCCATGCTCTCCGCCGGTGGATTTTATGTCGCCCCAGCTCATCGGTTTCGTTTCCATCTACTGCAGCTCCTGGCTCTGACGAGAAGGAAAAAATATACGAGGTAACGAACCGAGGTCGAATAGAGGCGGCTACGGCGAGCAGGGAAGCAGGAGGCCTCTTAGTGTGAACTCTTTTGTTTTGGGGCTCATCGACTGTATTCAAAGGGCAGCTCTATGGAGTAGAATCATTCTCCCGGTAGAGGGTTAATAGCAGAGCGAGAGTCAGACAATGGTACGATTGAACCGCCAGTGGATGCCCCCGTCCGCCAGGCTGTATAGTCGGCTGGTTCTCCCGCGAATTCGTACGAATCGACCGAGGAAGATTCCTCCGCGTAAGCAGGGATAGAAGTCTGGAGTGCGGAGGAAGGGGGGAAGGGGTTAGCGTCGCGCTGGCTTCCCGGAAAATCTTTCCATTAGGAATGAGGAGTCGGCGAATGAGGACTCCTATCAACAAGGGAGCGTGCCCGCAGCGTGACTGTCGGTAGGACAGAGCTCTTCAATTAAAGCGAAAAGAACGCCTTTTATCGAATCTCAAGAGCTTCTACGAGACGAAGTTCGCTCGCGAGGAGTGGAACGAGTTCGACAGCAGGAGCCCAGATCGCGGGCGGCACGAGGTGTATTCGTGTGGGAGAGCGCGTACGACTATGTGCTTCAGATGTCGAGGGTTAATTAGCGATAGAATAACTCAATTTGCACGACGCCTTAGGTGACACTTGTTAGACTGGAGGATTGAAGGAACGCAGGCGGGATGGATAGAAACTAAAGAGGCAACTACGAATACGACGAGGAGAACGATATGCCACCTCATCTTTCTGATCGTGTCTGGGACCGAGGATTCCTCCCGGTGTATAAGCAGGCGAGTGCCGGTGTCTGAGTGAGGAAGCCACTGCCGATCCCCAGAGAAAGAGCAGCAGCAGCAGTTCCATAATTGGATGAGAACTGAATTCCCGTTGTGGTTTCGCTCGCCGCCTCGGCACGGCCGCCGCTCCAGCTTCGTTAACTGATTCAATCGCCGCTCCATGAAACAAAAAAATCATGGAAAACCCTCATGCTTCGCTGCGGGAGCGGCTGTGGATCGACTGAAGCGGGCGAGGCAACTAGCGATACTTCTTAATTTCCCTGCTGTTTCACGCGTTCGTCGATTTTGTTCTCTCCGCCAAAGAAGCTCAATATGGGCTCCGACCACGTATGGGGAAGGAATGATTTGGTATGAGGGCGAGTTTCCGTCCGCTCGTTCGAAGAGGGAAAACTGCTTCGGGGAGCCTTCGGTGTCAGATTTTCCTCCGAATGTGGAGTGCTCGAAGGATCGACCGAAAGACGCGACACTGATGAGCGAACGGAAGTCACAACGTGTTGCTCGACAACATCCACGCATTGCACGACCAAGCATGGACTATAAATCATTTATCGCGGCCACGAGCTGGCGTCTGCCGACCATATAGAGGTGCTGGAGCCGCCATTCGCACCCTTTGTAGCAACTCGTTCGAGACGAGCGCATTAATATTACTTAGTGGAGCGTAGAAGGCCGCAGTTCCTTTTTTCATCGATTTTCATCTCGTAATCGAAAGAAACTCACTCGAGTCCGCCCAAACTCCGCGGAATCTGGCCTACATCGCTGGGTGGGCTTGCGAATGAGCGAGCGGCTCCGCGAGAAAATCTCGGATCGCATCGAGAGCGTATTCATCCAGACTCTCGCTCATGGCAATGAACCAACAGAGCAAGTACCGCGACGTTCGTTCGTATTTGCTCTACCCATGGCGGGATCGGTCATTCCGAATCGATGCAATGTTTCCGCCTAGATCGACCTCGCATCGGCTCTCTGCGGTCGCGATTCTGCATCCGAAATAGATTTATCGATCCCAGAGTCGCTTACTCGATATACCATGCACGGTCTGCCTCGACGGGCGTGATGCCCCGAAGAGCGCGCCGCCATGAGCCGAGTGAGTTCTCGACATGGAAAGGCTTCAGTTCCAAGTCAAAATCACGAACACGGTTTCGGACTCATGAGCGCATCCTCTCCCGTTCGTGACCCTAGGTCCGGACCGCTTCGAGCCGACCCTGAGGCTTCGTTCCCGGGCTTCACTGCGCGACCGGTACGCTGAGCGGGGAGAGGAATCGAATTCAAAGGTAGGAAGGGAATGCATAAGGAAAACAAGATGGTCGAGAGATGGGGCCGGAGGTAACCGGTGAGCGAAAATTCACGCTCGTAGTCTCCTTCTCCGCTTTCCACGGAGTCGACAGAAGCGGCGAAGAAGCCAGCGACCCGCATTTCCAATACCGGCGACGGCGGCATCGGGGCAGATGGGTCTGGCGGGACGGCCAGGCGGGGGATACGGGCAAGTACCAGCGAAGGCGACGGGGAGCAGGAGGAACGGTGAGGAAAGAAAGGAAAGCGGCTGGAGAAGAAACCATAGGAGAGGGAGAGAGCAACGAAACGAATTATCGGAAAGATATCGGAAAACTTTCTATCGATCCGTCGTCCGCACACTCACACACACACACGAATCGAAAGGAAGCCGCCGACTAGAGAGAGGAATGCAGCCGTCAGTTCGTCTCGGGTGGACGAACGAAAGAGACAGAGGACAAGGGACGGGCAGAATGTAGCGGGGGAAACACAAAACGGGGAACGCCGGGCCCCGAAAGCAGGGGGGCTCCGCGGGAGAATGCGGGACAGGGGGGGGCGAGCTACTGCTGCTCCTAATAGTAGAGCCATCGACCGGTGAGGCTCTCTTCTGCTCACTTCAGGAGCTTGCCTGTCGAAGGAGGAGGACCGAGGAGAACGTAAAGAGAGGGAGATGCTTTTCCTACGTTGCTTCCATTTATCCATCAGTTCGTTCCGTCCCATGTCTGTTCCAAGCGGCACCGAAGCGGCGTCGACCGACCAACCAACCCCAACCGAAGAACACTATGGGACCAACCCAGTCCTCGCCCGACAGACTTCGGAAATCGTTGCCGCCAATCGTGGCTCGGGGAAAGGGACCGACCGACGTCATTGGTCGACAACATCCGTACAGAGATAAAACGTGCCGCGTTCCCGGGGCCCTATTGCAGGACCGGCCCGACGACGACGCTGGCAAGGCAAGCTCGGGTCCTCACTCGCAGGCCGCGTCCTCGTGGACAACGTCCTGCATGTAGAGCTCCAGAAATGTGCTGAACGAGAACACTGCGCTTCTCCTCGGAAAATTATCAGATCCATTGACATGAGGGATGATGGAGAATTTAAGTTTGGGCTTGGGCTCCTCGGAGATCCCGAGTTTTGGAATCCGGAACTCCTGGGCGATTTGCTGGAATAATTGACGCCTGGGATTTCTCAGCGAGTTTTTGACGCAAAGTCGTGGGAGTCTCTGAGCTGAGGGATCCGGATCCAAAAGTATTCTCGAACAGTCTTATTCCTCGATGGTGGTCACCCTTGGGAGATGAAAGTCCCAAAACTCCGTCTCCAATTATTCTGGCAGCTTGAAGAAATTCTGCTGGTGAAGAACTCACTGAGGAAAGAAGGGACGCCGAATTCGTTGACTCTGGGCGGCAGCCGCTGCGGCTCCCAACGGGTGGTACGAGCCACAAGATTTTAACTCGGCGCAACTTCCGACCCGTTCTGCAACAACAAATGGCCAAAATTGAGCAACGAACTCTTCAGCCAAGCTTCCAACCACTCAGCCAGCCTTGCAGCCTCCCTTGAGAAACTCGACATCAATCGATCAATTGATCGCTAGTCAATCAATCAATGTACGCGGGTCGCTGCCAACTCTCACTCGTCTTCTGCCCTGGTTCTGCCGGACGACACTCTCTCGTTGACAAAGCGGCGATTTTCGTCGATGGGGTTCTTGTTCGTCGGGTATCCGTGCCTTCTTCGGCTCCCGGGTCACTCGGTGGAGTAAGAGGCGACGTTCCAGCTCTTGAATTTCCGTCACAACTTACGAGGCTGCCTCCCGGGGAATGACGTTCCTCGAAGGTCCAGTTTCACTTCACCAGATTCACGACGTCTGAAGCAGCTTGCCGAGCTGTTTTCCCGAGGGCGACCGCGGTCACCTTTCTTAGTCTTCGCCGTCATTGGTTCCTCCTCGGAGAACACCTTTCCAGTCACAGACGGCTCACAGACTCGAGTCGAGCTCCGCGTGAGGCTCTCGAACGTAAGTGAATGAGCCCTGAGTCGGGCCAGCAACGACGACCAGCGAGGCGAATATGCTTCAATCCGACCACCATTGAAGACTGATGCCGATGGCGATAGTGGTGGTGGTGGCGGCAGCGGGCGGGCAAACGTCCCTCCTCCGTTATATCGGTTTACTGGATTAACGGGGAATGTATTTTATAAGGGGAGATGAAGAAAAGGAGAACACGGAGCGGCAGCAGCAGCAGCAAAATCGAAATGATTGATCACAAGGGAACTCGATGACGATGATGACGCCAGTCGCAGCCGCAACGGTCGTCGCCATCATTCGAACCGCCGGCGAGAGGGGCTCGCTTTCTGTGCTTGTTATCGGATTCAGATAGTCTTTCTCGCGCCTGAACCATTCCGTGGCGCTTAAACGGCGACCCCGGAAACAATCAGACGATAGCTTCTTCAGCAGGATGCACGTTCCTCACGGCTCCGTGGTCGATCACGAGCGTGAGGAGAAAGTTCGAGAAGTTGCGCATTTTCGGTGGGTTGCATATTTTCGGTAAGTTGCGCATTTTCGGTGGGTTGCATATTTTCGGGAAGTTGCTTATTTTTGGTGAGTTGCGTATTTTCGTTAAGTTGCATGTTTTCGGTAAGTTGCGCATTTTTGGTAAGTTGCGCATTTTCGGGTATTTGCGTATTTTCGGTGAATTGCGGATCGATTCACTTTTGGGAGCGGCGAGGCCCGTTCGGAGGAGCCCGTCGTGTTTCCAGGAACGGGATCGCGGGTTCGGATACCTCCGGGGTCGAGTTTGCTCGAGAGGCGATCTAATCGTAGCGCAAATGGATGGTCGAAGCCATTCAGCTTCGCAAACGACGACACGCGGCTGCCAGGACGTGATTCGCGGAAATGTTTGTTGTTTGTTGGATGTCTGCTCGGTCGCTCAGCATTGCCGCACCGTCGTCACGAGCAGCTCACTTCGTTCGGTCATTTGCGACTGACCGCGAAGGGCTCGTTATCTCCACAAGCTTATGCTCTTATGGATGTAGAAATGCGTGTGCCTGCCGGTGTGAGTTCGGCTATGTTACAGCCTCTGTTAACAGACGCGTGTCCTCGGGCAAGTTCTCATCAGCTGCTGTCGTAGGAGTCGTCGTCGTCTTCTTCTCCTCCTTCACTGACGGCAGCATCTCAATCATCGTTGAGCTCGACCAAGCTGAGCTCTCATTGTAGCGGAACCTTGTTTTGCTCCTTGCGTCGCCGAACGGAGAAGCAACGAATCTACTCGAGTTCCTCCTCATCTCCAGCTTGCGCCGCCGCCGACTGAGCAGCAAGATGGCAATCAGGATACATCGATGACTTCGGAGGAGCAGGAGTTGCAGGATCGATCGACGGCCGCGGCGTTAGCAGCTTCTTCAGCTCGCGTGGAGAAGCCCTCGTACAGTCTCTCGGTTCTCCAAGTCTTCTCTTTGTTGCCCCTCTCTCCGCGTGTTCGTCGGTCGGTGCGTCTGGCAATCGTCGGGTTCCGCTGCCGCCGCCGCCGCCGTAGACGAGAAAGCCAGTTGTTCCCTTCCGCAGTTTACTTAACAAAATTAGCTCCAAGCAGCTCTTCTATAGCTTTCAAGTGAGCTGCTGCTGCCGATCGAAAAGCGAGCAGCAGGGCAAGTGCGCAAGAGAGAGAGAAAAAAGCCTCCCCTCCGGCGTTTAGGCCTATCGGCAAAATTTTCACCCTTTTTGTGTTTCTCCGCCTTTTTTTCAAGCTCAACTCCCCCGCACGCACATGCAACTGAGTCTGGGCTACTCTGTGCGTAGGCGATGTTTAGCATATTTTGTATTGAATATCGCTTAAAGCACTCCTGCGTAATCCTTCCTTTTGCTGTTGTTCGGCTTCCTTTCTCCTGTACTGTCACTGTTGGCGAGGACTCTGGGCGTAGGGCGATTCATCTCCGGAGGAGCGCCGTTCGCGAAAAGTACCAACTTCTCGCGACAGGGTTTTCGTTCCATGTTCGAGGAGTGTCATCCGAGTCGAACTTCCCGAGTCACTGACTCTCTGGGCCTGGTGTTCTTGGTGATCGGAGTCCCAGGTCCCAACACGCCTATGATCGCTTCGATCGTCCACGCATCCAGATCAAGGAGCTCGAAATCAAGATCCGTGCTGAGACCACCGTAAGTGGTCTTCGCAAACTCCACCGGCTGGTGACCGAGCCTGGATCGTCTCTGGTTCGAGAGCCAGCTAGTGAGTCGGTCGAGAGGCTGCCTGGCCCGCCGGCCACCTTGGCAACAGCTTGACTTGACACTACATCGCTATATCTTTTATTAAGTTGGGGAGTCTATCAATTACTTCGTAGGATTGGGATCCGTTGTTCGATGGTCAGAGGAGGCTCCTCGATGGATGGTTCGAGTCCGCAGGATTCGTTCGAGAGTGAAAATGACCGATGTCGTCGACTCATCAGATGTCTCCCGATGTAGATCCGACATTTCCCGCAGTCTGCGTGACTCGCGTATCGACTCCGTGATGACTCGCTGTCGGATCCTTTTTTTATTGCCTCGCGAAGTGACGACGCATTAATACGAGGTAATATTTCAGTATGCCACGCATCGGAGTACGAGTTGAAGTGGCACCTTAGCACGAGACAACTTCCTTCCGGCTCCTCGTGTCGTCGCACCTTCTTACTCGGATCGGATGCGAGCGCTCTTCCGATTCCGCTCCCTCCGGCGCAGTTGTCCGCTTCCTCCAGCATTCATTCATTCGTTCGTTCGTTCATTTGGTCGCCGTGGTTTGTCTCTAGCTTTTGTGTCGCTCGTCAGACGTCGGCTCGCGGGCAGGGGGAGGAAACATCCGCGCGTTGAAGCTTTCCTCCCGGCATCAGGTTTTTTTGAGGGACAAAAATTTCAACCAATTCGTCGCCCTCCAAGGAATCTCATGACCGAAATCCCCCACGGCATTCGCGCGAAAAAAGGGTTATCATTTGTGGTTGCTCCCCGAGCGCTCCGATTCACTCGTGGAGCGATGCGGTCGGTCGTTGTCATCAGGGCATTTCCCGATGCTCGTGCCTTCGTGGAGGCGGATGTGTCAAAATATGTTCCGTTGTCTTTCCTCCTCCTTTCGTCGTCGTCTTTTTCGTCGCAATCATGCTCTCGGCTGTCGTCGTTGTTGGTGTTGCTGTCGCCGGTGTCGCTCATTCGATCCGTCGGAACAGAATCCGATAGGAGCTTGTTATCGTTTTGGAACTGGGGAAGATGTCTGTTGGATTCGACACGGTTTGTTCAACTGTCTGCCGACGAATTAAGGAATTTCCCCATCGAGGGAAGGAGGGAGCGAGCGAGACGACGACTTGTGTGACAACGACTCGTAAGCGGCGGCATCTGAACTAACGCATTGCCCGGTTGCGAAGCTTGCTCTCATTCGTTATCGGAGCTCGTTTTCGTCACCCGAAACTATTGTTTTGCACGCATCGTCCGAACCATTGATATTTCATCGCGATCGAGCATCAACGCCCTCGTTTTCGGCCCCGTGACTGATCCCGACTCGCGGCGCGGCGAATCCAACACCGCTCACTTCAATTAAATCACAGTCCATTCAATTAACAGCGCGAGATCCGGCCCTGGTCCCGACGCAGTCGTCTGGCGCTCTGGGAGTCAGCGGGGATCCATCGGCGTAAGAACTAAACACTTCGGAAGTCATCGAGATTCGAGGAGGGGAGAAATTCCCGGCCAGCCATCCTCTGTAATTTTGCCGCTTTTAAAGAGGAGGGACGAACCTCTCATCTATATAATGATGACGCTCTGAGCGCCGGGAGGATCAGGAGCTCTCGGCTTGATTTGATCCTACGTAAATAAAGGGGTTTGACGAGACGTCTTCTCGCTCGTCATCCGGCACATTGGCACGGGACGAAGAAGAACAAAGCCACCCGCAGTGCCAACCAACAAGCGGGAAGGCTTAGCACGTTCATCTCGCTTCGTTCACTATTTACCAAAGGTCGTCGGCAAATTAGCTAACTCAGTTAGAGCCGAGCGAGAGAGAAAGAGCGAGGGAGCTTTTCTTATCGAGACGCAGCCGGGCTATTGGCTTGCCTTCGAGGGGGTGATATGATTTGACTGACCCTCCGCTGGCTGGCTGGCTCGCTAGCCAGTCAGTCTGCCCACCGCCCCCCTCCGGGAGGCAGGGAGCGAGCAATCGGAGAAGACCGGGTTAGCCGGGGGGGGGGTAGAGGCTGTCTCGGGGGGAGAAGGGGGAGGAGAAGCAAACAGAGATGATGGATCTCCATCTTCGTGACCCTTTGGCCACGGGCAAAGGCTGTGTGTAAGAATGTGAGTTTATGTGTGTGGGGGTGGGTGGGTCGATCAGTCCGTCCACGCGCCCGCCCGCCTGCCCGTCCGTCCGTCGAGAAGTGGGGAGGTGAGCAGACTGGCAGGCAGGCAACCTGCAGCTGTGCGTTTCCCATATCATCTTGGTGTTTCTTGCATTTTGAAGAGCACCGGTAGTGGAAGCGGTTGCGAG